TATGGTTTGATTTTTTTTTTTTTTTTTTTGATGAGGTATGAAAATAGAAAGTATGTAAAGGTTATATATTGGTTTCCAAAACAGGATATAACTTATTTTATAATTTGTTATGCTTGCAGAAGACTAGCCAAACGTAGCCAAAGGTTGTATGTTGGTATGAAATCTAAAACTTTAAGGCTTCCAAAACAAGTATTTTCTCACCCATTAGTGCTTAAAAGGAAAACAATGTTGATTTTCTAAGGAAGATGTTTGATTTTTTTAATGCCCTTCGTCCTTTTGTTGTGAATTTATGACATTTAGAAGCAGTTAATATGTTATGTTCCAATTCATTGGCTTGTATGTGCCTAAGTTGCACTCATGGTAACACTTATTGAATTTAACAAAATTAATCAAATTATCGTAATTATTAGTTGTTTTATAATGTATATAGTATATTATCCTTGTTCTTTACAATAGGAATATTCCTTTTAGTAAAAATAAAGTTTGTAATCCATCATCTTGCAATTCTTCTCATGCAAAAACATCTCCATAAATAACATCTTTGCAAAGAAATGATTTTAGAGTAAATTACAATTTTTGGTCTCCGAGATTAGCACCTTTTCCAGTTTTGGTCTCAAAAGTACTCTGTTTGCCGTTTTGGCCCTTATATTGTGATTTAATAATGATTTTGGTTCTTAAATTTATTAGAAAAAAGGCAAAAAAAAATGTATTATTAGGATATAAGTCACTAATGCATGACTTGTATGAGCAAACCATATCACTACTGCACATGTAAAATCAAAGGTACAACACATTTATGCATGAAATCAGAGGTGGTCCAATGTGGCATGCAATCTCCTCTCATTTTTTCTAAAAAATCGATATTTTTGCCTAAAAATTAACAAACCTATCATAAAGGTATGAAACATAATATTTTGTTTTTTTAAAATTGAAAGTGTTAAAACGAGAGTTCCATTTAATATTTGTGTTTCAAATGATATCTATGTTTCAAATGACATCTATTTTATGAATGTACTATAAGTTTTTTATTCTAAACAAAAAGGTAAAACAATCAATCAATCAAATCATCCTCACCAACTTCAGTAAATCACTCTTCATCATCTGGATTCTCTTCTTCATCACCCTGGTTTTCTTCTCCATCCTTCTTTTTCTGTTTCTTGACAATGGCGGCAATAGGTTCCTTATGCTGAGCCTGCAAGTATGAATTTACATTAAAATCCAGCAGAATACATATCTAAATGATAGCTAGTTTTCACCAATCACCTCTAGCTTGGGAACATTCAGAGGTTGACGTAAGGTTTTAGACAGTTGCTCAAGCCTTTGGCGACTTTCTAAGGAGGCATCCACACGATTCTTCTCATTTTTCTCCTCCACCTCTTCTTCTTCCACTTGTTTCTCTTCTTCTTCCACTTATTTCTCTTTCTGTGACATAGGTGTTGAAATTAGATCTGTAAATTACAAAATCAATCAGAATCTACTTACCTTCTCTGCTTTCGGTGGAAAAATCTTCCTCGAGAAGCCATCTATGAAGATCTCCAGTGGATTCTGACATAACAATCAAACAAAATTTAGACTCTGTTTAAATACACAAAATTAGCGGAAGTTCGGTACCTTGTTCTGGTCCTTGTTCTGGTCCTTCTTCCAGGATTTACTCATTTCATGAAGCATCTTCTGCAGAGGATTTGCTTCTTCTTCATCCTGTTAACATAATTCAAAATGAGAACTCAATATCAAATATAATAAGTTATAAGGTATAGCGAAGTTGTTTCTACATCTATTCTTCTTCTGTAAATCTCCTCAGGGCTCTCCTTCTTCATTGTTTGACATTAACATGAAAATACAATCAGTAAAGTTCAAATGGAGAGATAATTTTCAAGTTGGATCGTTACCTTAGACAAGTCATCGTCCTTTGGTTTCTGAGATCCTTTACTCAGTTGATTCCAGATTTTCATCACAACATTTGATTTGTCCTCATTTTTCTAAATATAACATGATAACTCGAATCAGAATAATGAATATAAGATTCACAGCAACAAAATCGATGTTAAATAAAAGTATGAAGATGATTTGAATAATGATTTGAGTTTTGTACCCTAAACATCTCCTTCTCTGTGGATTTCTGCTGCATTTTCTTCTGCTGATTGGATTCACCGTCCACAGCAACTTCAGCTTGTTTCTGTTCATCGACGGTTTCATCGGCCTTGTTATTGGCGTCGGTAATTTTCATTGTTCTCTGGATCTGATGGCGGTTATCTGACCTTTCAATGGCGGTTTCTGGGAAATTAGTTTCAAATATAGGGGGAAGGGGAGGGTAGGGAGGGAAAAGTTGTAAATCGCGTTTAAACGCCGTCGTTAAACGGTGTTGCTAGTTACGTGAAGAAAAAAAAAGTTTTTTTAAAGAAAAAACCCTCATTTTTTATAAAAACCAAACCCTTCTCAAATCTATCTAATGTTTCGTTTTTTATTATTTTTGTTGTAATTTGGCTTATAATTATTAATATTTTTTATTAAATCACTTATTTAAAGTATTTAAATTCAACTTATCATTTAATTTACTTTAAATTTATTTTTTTATTTAGATTGCATTTCCTATTAAATTAGATATTTTTCCGATTTTTTCATTTTTATTTTTGATTCAGACACGATTCCGATTCCAATATACCAAGAACCCTCTGTTGCAGTTTCGGTTCTAAAAAATTAGGATGAGTATATGCTCATGTCAATGCTTAACAAATCTTTTATTTTTCTAATTTAAAAATCTTTTGTTTTTTTAGGGCTTATTCAAATATATATTTATTTTTGTTTTTTTATTTGTTTTTTCTTTTGACTTTTTGTTTGTTAATTATTATTAATTTTTAATTTTTTTATGTTTTGTTTATTTATATTAGTTAGTCATAACTTTTTAACGTCTTTTTCGTTTATCTGAAACCAGTTTTTAAAAAATCGGATCATCCAAATCCGTAACTTTCTTTTTACAATTTAGGCTATTTAATTTGAAAACGGTTATAGATTCATCCGAAATGTGAAAAATCATAAGTTATGTAATTCGAAAATTGTTAAAAATTTGAAAAAACATAAGTTATTAAATCCAATAATCGTTTATAGTATAATCCAATTTGTGTATTTTTTTTAAACAAAAAGAATTACTTATATCTTTATTTTTATATCAACTAATTGTGAGACCTATGTAGTACATCAGTTAATTTAAAAGAAAAAAAGTTTAAATATAAAAATCAAAATATTTGAGAACTTTGAATTTATAAGAAAATAAGAAAAATAATGAATTATTATTATTGAAATTTTTTTATCTTTTAAATTTAAATAAATAAACAAAAGAAATTAATGAACTTTAATTTGTGAATTTTGAAATTAAAAGGTAAATTCATTAATGAAATTGATATCCATTTATTATTATATTTATTGTAAATATTACATTAAAATATTATATGAAATTTAATAAAATAGAAAAACTCATAAAATGACAGGTAGAAAAAAAATTAATTCAAATAACCATAAAATGACATTTGGCAAATTAAATAAGAGTGTGACATTTGGCAAAGAAACTTTCATTTATTAGAGTATATGAGTTTTTTTAGCACCACCCGTAAACATATATTGTAAAAGCCAATTCGGTTTTTAATCGAAATCTGATAGCTTAAAAAAACGAGTTGTGTTGTTGTGAGACATGGTGATGATGATGTTGAAGAAGTATCTAAACTATGGATCAAAATATAAAAACTATTCTTATATATATATATATATATATATATATATATATATATATATATATATATATATATATATATATATAGGAAGGATCATTTGAGAACCTATAGTTTCCCGAGAACCCGAGAACTAATTTTAGACCATTAGATTAAAAAAATGGAAGGATGTGATTTCTAATGGCAGCTTTGTAAATAACTGTGAAAAAAAGAGACCGGGGTGTTATCGGCATTGAAATACATCCAAACTCTTTCTCTCTCTTAAAAACCAATGTCACACTTGTAGATCTTCAACGATCTCTCCCTTTCTCCCTCTACCCTGCCTTCTAATCACGACCAAATTCCGATAGAATTGATGACCCCGATGTTGCTTGCGGTGAGAGATCTCCTTACATCGTCGCCTCACCTCATCGTTTATGTTCTTATACGATGTTTCCTCACCACTTCCATATCTGGACCCATCTCATCTGCTCTCCTGATTCTCTAGATCCTTAATTTATCATTGCCTCCACCCTTCCAGTGCTTGACATCGGTCATGAGTCTGTCACCTTATGGATTCAATATCAAATTTCACTTGATGTGTTGAAGATCGAAAGGAGATGGAGGTGAAAGTTGTTCTAGGGTTCCGACGAGATGTTTTCTCAGAAACAGTTATCTCTGATGTCCCTGTATGCCTGAAATTTGAAATCAAATTTTTTATCAGCTCCTGTGACCTTGTAATCGTCGAGATCAATCATCGGTGTACGGTTAGATTCTAATGTTTCATGTTGCTTTTATATTTTGATCTCGGTTATTCCAACATCTGCTTTAATTTAGTATGTTTTGGTTACCATACGAGGGTGAGGGTGAGAGTGAGATGTGAAGGCTATCTAATTAATCACTTATATCCACCTCAACTCATTTCATAAACAATTCAAATTCTTGTTGATGAATCCAACTGAAGTAACTGATATGGTGGTTATCATCGTTTTCCTCAGGATTTGCTGATGTTGAACTGTTGGTGACGAATTCAATTTGTTTTTTCTGGAATGGCCAGAAGGTGTTTGATGTTTTGTCCATATGTAGTTCTGTTTGATCAAGGTAGGATTAATAGTCATATCTTCTCTCACATGTTTGTTTACCTCCTTGAAATGATCTTACTGAACATATATGTCTGAAGCTCTTACTCTAGGGTGTAATGGTTTTCAAGTTAATAATTATCATATATGTGTTGATATTCTTTATGTTATACTTGCAGTAGAGTAGAGTGTAAGTCCATTAATAAAGCTTGGAGTTGAAATGACGGCTACACCCATGTTGCCACCAAACTTAGGACCTGGAGATGGAAATGCTCCAACAGCTCCGCTTCCACCAGAGACAGACATGACCGGGATATGCTTCAGGGATCAATTATGGTTAAACACATACCCACTTGACCGCAATCTTGTCTTTGATTACTTTGCATTTTCTCCTTTCTATGATTACACATGCAACAATGAACAACTCAGGATGCGCTCAATTCACCCTTTAGACATCTCTCATCTTTCGTAAGTTTTTCTTTCCATTCAGTTTTCAATTCAAGTGTTATCTCTAATCTGTATAGAATGAGATTATGATTTAGTCTTTACATACAGTAGAATGAGAATGACCCAGATCACGCTCAAGGGAACGTGCTCGGGATTATGATCGTCAAAGGTATCTTTTTTTTAATAAAACTTACTTATTAGTGTTTGGTATATATGATGGAATGGAATCACAAAGGAATGGAATGAGGAAGGTAATTAGAAAACATAAAAAAGTTATTTTTGAAACTAAACTTTTAGTCAAATAAAGATACATGACTACATTTATGTATTTCAATTAGTGTAACTAATATTTTTGTTATTTTTGGAAAATAAAAAGAAGAATCTAATTGAAGTTTGAAATTATTTAAAAACATTAAAATATTATTAAAGATTATATAAGTAATTTTATTTTTGTATATATAAGTTGTTTATTATAGTGATTAACATGTAAATAACATGTGATTCACATGTAAATCTCATGTGATTCACATGTAAATCACAAGTGAATCACATATGAATTACATGATTCACATGTAAATCACATGAGATTCACATATAAATCACATGTAAATCACAAGTGAATCACATATGAATTACATGATTCACATGTAAATCACATGTGATTCACATGTAAATCACAAGTGAATCACATATGAATTACATGATTCACATGTAATTCACATATGAATAACATGTAATTCACATGTAAATCACAAGTGAATCACATATGAATTACAAGTGATTCAAATGTAAATCACAAGTGAATCTTAAAAGATATAATCACATGTGAATCTTACATGAAATAATCATAAGTGAATCTTACATGATTTATACATATGTTTTTTGTGAATGTTCTTGCATTAATCAAATTTTTTTTAATTTTCTTGTAGATTTGGAAGAATATTGGAAAAAAATTGAAGAGGTGAAAATGATAAATTAAAGAAAATATAAAAATCTTGACACAAATACGTGAAAACGCTTTGAAATTTTGTAGCATTTTTTATTTTTTATATTTTATTTTGTATGGAATAAAATACTTGTACTATTGTGTTTATAGATTAGTAAGTAAAAATTGGTTTTTTATGATTTATTTACGAGTATTATAGTATAAGAAATATATATACATGCACTTGAAAAAATATGTAGATATGCTCCTAAAACATTGATTTTTGTGGTTAAATAAGCTATATTTTTTTTTTTAAAAATATTCCAGGTTTTTTTTTTAATTTACTATGTTTTAAAATTTTCCTGTTTTTTTAAAAAATGCAGTTTTAAAAAAAATATTTTTTAACTTTTTTTTTGAAATTTTATGCTTTCTAAAAAAGAAAAAAAAAATCTGCAATTTAAAAAAAACAAAAATTATTTTTTTATAAAAAAAATCCGAAAATTTGATTTATAATGTTAATTTAAGAGCTTTTTATTAATATTTCCAATAATACAAAAAATTACATGAGATTGGTATGATGACGATCATGCCCTTAATGAGTTAATCTTGATCCAACGCTCCACCTTTAGTTCTCGGGTTCTCGAGAAACTATGAGTTCTCAACGGATCTCAACCCTATATATATATATATATATATATATATATATATATATATATATATATATATATATATATATATATATATATATATATATAAATTTTTTGTTCTCTTATGAACAATGTTCCACTCATATTGGTCCATTTCTTTTTTTTTTTTTCTTTTGATTTATTTAATATGGTCGTAACCTAGTGGAACCTTGACCCCTCTCAGCCTTTTTTTCCGCTTGCTTCTCTCTTTTGCCTGTCTCGAGTCCTGTTCCTTCCACCGCTTCATACATTCCTCCAGACCACCGCCTTAATCCAGATCACCAACTTAATCCTCCAAAACTATCAAATGTTTACCAGTCGACAACCGCATCATAGATTCGTATATGTTTCGTGCCCTACCCATCGTCGTAATGCGTCTCGGTTGGAGGAATCGTCTTCTCCATGGTCGGTCGGACGCAACGCACTGCGTCGTCGACTACATAGGGTGTCCGCTTACTCATCGGTAGTGTTAGCCCTCTCTCCGATTCCTGCAATACCATCCGATTTGAAGCTTATGTCCATTTAGGGGTCACCGCATAACAGTTCGATTTTTGAGAGAGCCGGTTTGCATTTTTCAAATACCATATTTTTGTCTAAAATCAACCAATATCGATTACATGAATAAATCTTATATATATATATATATATATATATATATATATATATATATATATATATATATATATATATATATATATAGAATCTTTAACTTATTTACCAGTTTGAAATTTCAAGTTCGGTTTCTAACTACTGAAACTTCCTTTTTTGCAAAGGTTTGAAATTAATGTTAAAGGAAGCCTCATACTTACTAAAGGTATGTTTTTTCACAAGTTGATTACGTTGTTCAAACTTACACCTAACTTGTTTGATGAAATCCCTCAATGAGGCATAGGGTTTTATTTTGAGAAACAGTAACCTTTCAATGCATTGGTCATCTTTTTTTTTTTGTGATTTGTGACATCCCAATTTTCATGGCAAGAAAAGACCGATTTTGTTTATGCTTTATTCAGAGTACCTCTTTTAATAAAAACGTTGCGAAATTTGTTCCCATAAAAACATGATAAATACGTTATCAAAGCATTTCCGAAGAAATGTATTTTTATCCATTTTAAAACATTTGGGATGTCATCGTCAATACAGAAACATAAGCATAAACAGATCTTACATTCATTTACACTAGTAATCTACATCTCTTTTAAATCCCTCAGTGTAAAGTAGTTTCATATCGACACCTGTGATACAAATAAGCTTGAGTGGGTCAGGTTGGGAAACCTGGTGAGTACATAGGGTTTTCAACCCATAATAATTTAAGTATTATGTTTAAACATCAAACAATCAACTCAATTACCCATCCCCATTATCTTCCTTACTCTTAAGGATCTACCCTAAGAATCATCTATATTGCATTCATTCATTTCGAAGCCCATTGCTTCCAGGGTTTATATGATAGGCACTAAGTCCATAGCTGCCAATGCTTGTTCGTAAAGCACTAATTCCATAGCTGCTAAAGTTCATTCATCGGGTACTAAATCCATAGCTACCAGTGTTCAGCTAATAGGTACTAAATCCATAGCTACCAACGTTTATTTAACAAGTACTAAGTCCATAGCTACCAACGTTTATTTAACAGGTACTAAGTCCATAGATACCAACGTTTATCTAACAGGTACTAAGTCCATAGCTACCAACGTTTATCTAACAGGTACTAAGTCCATAGCTACAAACATTTCTCTAACAGGTACTAAGTCCATAGCTACCAGTGTTTATCTAATAGGCACTAAGTCCATAGCCACCGATGTTATTTATTAGGCACAAAGTCTATAGCTGCCAATGTTTACTCATACCATCTTCATCTCTCATCGTTCATCTACCCTTGTTTTACCCAACATATTCGTAGATATAAAATACATATACAGTTTAAATCATTTAAAACATATATAAAATCGTTCATCCAACATAGAAAGCAAGCATTCAAATAATATGCACACATAGCACGTAATTTATATAAAATACTTCATATCTATGTGTAAGATGAAAGTAACTATGCACTCACTTGTTAAAGTGATGATTCCAAACTCGGATAGCGCTTCGCTTCTTAACAATATAATTTCCTTCGACGAAACCTAGTATTATTACCACTAGATTTTAGTCTAATATTTACCGTGACTAATTATTAGTCCTAGCATTATTATTATTATTATATAAGCGTTTAAACAATATTTTCCAACCACTATGTACAGACAGGGCCAAACATAGAACACCGGAGGGCAGGACCATTTTGGCATATAGCACTTCTGAAATCCAACAACCCTATGCGGCCCTTTAAACAAGATTCACCGTACCGCGAGTAGTTAAAAAGATTATAACGACACTTATATAAGTCATAATAGTAGCCCAAATATTTATTATAAGTTCATAATAACAATACTAATTTTAAATATAAGTTATATTTAAAATATGGTAAGCATAACTTACTTACAATGGGGTTTTAGTTAGAAGTCGGGCTCTGCAGGGTAGAACTTCGTCGCTGAATCTTTCTAAGAAAGATTCTTGCAGCGCTTCAGCGCTTACCTTACTATACTAAAACTACAGAAATAGAAGTCGAATCACGAGGGACCGAAATGCTCGGGAGATAAGAAGAGAAATACTCTTGAATCAAGAGAATGGTGCAAGAAATATGAGATCCTAGAGGCTCTTATTTATAGTAATTGAATTTTCAAAAATCACCCTCTATATTTACTTAAATGACTAAACACCCCTTTATAATACTATTTAAAATAGATTTAATGATATTTGTACAAACTAATGTCGAAAGTACTCAACATTAGTCTTATAATGACCGCATCGTCGATACCTTTCTAATGATATATACATATCTATATATATGTAGACGTATATATGATTTACGCTTTATTTAATACGTAAATGTGCTATTAAAAATTATAACTCGTTCATACGAACTCCATTTTGACGTTCTTTATATCCACGCGTTGGTATTTACGAGTACTACAACTTTCATTTAGACGTCGTCAGCTAATTCTCATTCTATCTCATATTTACAAAACTGTATCGAATTTATCGCGCTCGAAGAGTAGGGACCAAGTTTCGTCCATATCTTTAACATACGAGCTCTATTCTCGACGTTCTTTATATCCACGCGTTGGTATTTATGAGTACTACAACTTTCATTTAGAATCCATCGGCTAATTCTCATTCTATCTCGAATTTACAAATCTATATCGAATTCGCCGCGTTCGAAGAGTATGGACTAAGTTTCGTCCATATCTTTCGCATACGAGCTCCGTTTTCGACTGTCTTTTTATCGTTGAACTCCTATTAACGATATCTTCATTTCTCGTTTAGACTTTTTTGGTTAAAAATCGACCGATCTAAAATTCAAATTTCGGGCTGTGCACTGTTATGCCTAATCTTAGAAAAATCATAACTTCCTCATACGCAGTCAGATTTGGACGTTCTTTTTATGCACATTCCCGGTGTCGTGTCGGTTTTGCTGTAAAACTTCGACGAATCATAATTTCTTTGTTATAA